GGGGCCCCTGATGGAGGTAATAGTGGAAGCTGCCATCTGAGTTCTGGGAAGCTCAGCGTCCTTACTCGGTTCTGCAAACAGGTCCTTTAATGCCACAGCAGAGAATCTTTGCCGGTCAGGAGAAGAGAGTGGGGAGTCAAAAGACAGGAAGCTGGCTATGTTGTCCTATGCAAAAGGATCCATGGCTTCTCTCTGATGGAAAAAGAATGCATGGAATGAACATATTAAGCCAGACTGGTGACTGGCTAGCATTTTTAGTTCAGCTAAAAATGACTTCAAGGAGAGGAATCCTTCCGAACAGAAATAATTTCTTATTATCAAAGAAAGTTTTCCCTCTTTTTAACTTGGAGCTACTTTTTGTAGTGTTGAACCATATTTGTTTTTCATGATTGGGTCCTTTGCCACAAATATGAGTAGTTTCTTCTGTATAAACCTCCTCACCTCTTCTCCATGTCTTTACTTTTTTGATGTAGAAGGTAAAACATCTATAGGTCTGCTGTGATGGTTTAAAGTAGTAATTGGTTAGGTCTTCCACCCCGCCAACAATGGTGTTTGGGTAGAGTTCTGAGTCTGAGTCACTGAATAGAAGAGGTAATTAACATGACTAAAGGAAGAACTGTGATCTTTGAGAACTCTGGTCTTCAGTTTTGTAACTATAAAATCAGAGAAATGGAAACTGACCTCTAAGGGGCCTTAGTCTAGGATCCTAAAATCTCTATTAAAAACCCTCTTCTTCTACTAACTCCTTATGAAACCCTTCCCCCACATCTCCCAACCTTCTGGGAGGCTCTAGAATTTACCTGAAGTAAAGAATATGTTGCCCTCCTTGCTTCCACTACTGTGGAAATGGAGACCAGATCCAACTGGTTTCCCTGAGAATAGAAAGTGGGACTAAAATAAGTTGTAATGGGTGATCCTCTGATTCTGTAATAAGACTTGCAGGTTTCTATCTGTACCTTTTTGAGGTCTTGGAGAAAGAAAAAATCGACCTAGAGATCACTGGATTCTGGACTTCTGGATTTCAGGGGTTGAGGCTTATGCATTTCTCTGCCACAGCAATACCCTGCACACAGAATGTGCAAAGCGAATGCTGGAACTGAAGATAGATAACTTAGGAATGTTTTAAGGAACCACCTCTGAGGTGATTTAAAAGATTATTTTTAACCCATTAGAAAAGGTGATTAAGGAACTAGGCATATACAGTCTGAAGAAAAGATAATTTAAGGGCTGGTTTAAGCTGTCAGAATGGAAGTCTCTCTGATAGAGTTAAATTTAAATGCAGAGGCTGACCACATGAGAAGTACCCTGGGACTCCAGATCTGGTGGAGGAAGAGGGATCAATAGGTGTGTAAAACATCCCAACACTCCTCTGTGCCAGAGATTTGCTTCCCTGATTTTGCCTATTTGCAATGATCATGGAATTGTTTTTATTACATTGCATTTTTATTACATTGCATTTCACTAGTGGTTCTTGACTTGGTTATCTGATTAAATCTCGATTCAGATTCTAAACCAAGAATATTCTTTATCTTATTTCCTGTAACTGCATCCATGTCTTCTAGAGTAGCTCAAGAATTACTACATGGATTAAATAAAATAAAAAATATAAAGACTCTAACAGTACATAATAGGCATTAAGGTACATGGTAGGCACTCAATATTTGCTGGTTGAACAATGCCTTATAGCATAGAAAACATTTCTCATCCATTAATCCTCCTGTTTTTCATGAAATTATTTTTACCTAAAGATCAGGAAGGTGATGTGAAATGCCCAAGACACTGAGCTAGTAAAAGCCATGATGTACACCCAGAGTATGAATTCAGGAAAAAAAAATCTTTACTCCGGACTGTACCACCACTTGGATTAACCCGCCATAGCAGCTCAGTGACAAAGATGTAGTCTTCTTACCCAGACAGAGTAACTTCTTTGTAATTTTCCCCTTTACTTCAGTGCTACCTAATTTTCCTGCAATCTCATATTTATATTATTGAGTATATATAAAAATTTACATAATTTGTTTTGAGACAGAGACTTTCTTTCTGGGGATTAGTTAGGATCTCTGGGCAGGGTTTTTTTTGTTTGTTTTTTGTTTTTTCCTGGCCGTGAATGATGGAAGACTCCTCAGAGCAATGACTTCATCTTTGTGTCTGTTTGGAAATAAGGCTGTGTTGTGTGATAGCAGGACCTTAACTCTGAAAATACTTAGAAGCTGTAGCCTAGAATGGTGAAAAGACCAATGAACGAGGTCTCAGGAGACCAGAATCCCCACATACTCATCCTTATCTTAAAGCAATGCTTTGGGAAAGTTCTGGTATTTTCTGTGTCTCAGTTTTCTTATCTACAGAAAGGAGGCACTAGGCTATAACTTCTCAGAGCCCTTCTAGCTCTGACATTCTACAGTTTGTAAATCTTAATCTGCTATTCCATCAAATAATTGCTGATTGGCATTTTCACATGTTTGTAAAATATCGTGGGAGGTCCTAAAATTTCCTAGGGTTGCTAGAACAATACTTGCTGTGACCTTTGCAGCAGAGGATGTATTCTGCTCAGGGGGGCTAATGTGATGCCTCTAAACTAAAGAAGCCTCGCCCACAGGCTTCTTATGGATGGTTTGTGACTTGCCTAGGTGAATGTTGGTGGCATTATGACCCTAGCTGCTGATAGCATTCACACAGCTACTGAGGTCATGGGTGTCGCAACATGGAGAACAAGTGGGGAAGTCAGATTCTTTCCTAATATGAGAAAACATAGTCAGAAGAGTCAGAAAGAGAAATGATTTAGATTCAGAAAGAAATTCAGAAAGAGAAGTGAGCTTCTCTTTTGTCACAATGTATTAAGTGCCAAAACCAAGACTCTAACATAGACCTACATGGGACATCCTGTTCATTGCACTCTTTCCTCCATTCTATCACCTCACATGACTTTTCTCATGTCAAGCACAAGTCACTCTTAAATAAAGTATTTCTGGTCATAAAGGTATCTATAGTCTCCATAATTGCCCTAATGACATTTGGTAGAAGAGATACTAAAGGCTTTGCTGGAGGGCCTGAGAAGCTTCACCTTAGTTTTACCTTTGAGAGATGACTTAATTTTAGATTTATCTTCCTAGATTTTACCTCTGAAGTTCAGGAAATGAGGTTGGCTGAACTTGTATAGTTAGAAGTATACTAACTTTCTGTCTTAGTATACTTAGAAGTATACTTTCTTTCTTTAAGAAAGGTCATTGCTATGCTCAAATTGATCACTTATTTAGAAATAAGGCCTCTCTTGATTTTCATGATTAAACTTCACTTAGGGTTTCCTTAAGGTAGAAGAATATAATGTGTACTTATTAGAGAAGCTATTTGACAGATTTTCATCCCTTTTGGATAAAAGTAAAATTGCACCCAGCACATAAATTGACATATGAAGCAATAAATAATTCCATTGTGCAAGTTGTTTTAACAGACTCAATCCAGAATGCTCCATTAACAAGCACAGATAGAATATTCATTGAGTTTAGGGTTTATTGCCAGGCCAGAAGAAAATAAAAGAAGGAAGGAAAGTACAGGGAAGATAATAAATGTCAGTACAGCAGCTGAGAAGTGTTAGAAAGGAAACTTTAGAGCTATGCTCAATATTTGTCTTTTCTTCTCTGTTTTTCTTCTGTTTCTATTCTTTGTATTCCTTTTTTTTTTTCTTTTTTCTTTTTGGGTAAAGGATTAAGTACAGAAAAAGTTGAATCCCAGCTATCAAATATAATCGTCAAAAATCTGAGAACTGGCCAGCAACATGTGCCAGGCTCTTTTCTTACTTTTCCTTTGTGAGAAACTCCGGGATCAGCCAACCGGGGAGGGAGGTGTTATATGCGTATGTGTGAAATTGTGTTTATACACATCTCCACATGGATAAACATTCAGAAACCACAATAGCATTCCCAAAGGAATCCTTCCTTAATACAGGAAGTGACAGCTTTGTGAAGGCACCACAATTAAGCTCTGATTTTTCATTTTAGAAATCCCAGGATTTAATTTCTAGAAGAAATGAGATCTTTGTGATGTTCCATGGGACTGTTTAGAATTACAGGCAACGTAAAGCTTGTTGAATGCAAGGCACCTGAGCTTAGCTTAACCTCCAGGCATCGCTTTGCATTCAGGGATGTCCAAAACTACAAACCATAGATTCTGATGGACACATGCAAAAGGAAGAGGCCACAGAAATGAGTTTTGTTATTCAATGTTGCCCCAAATCTCTGCCATAAGTTTTCTCCCTCTACTCCTGAGCTGACTTTCTCTTACTTTGCACGTGGGTTTACTAAATGACCAAGCCTGGGCTATGCAAGATAGTAGCTACTTCCTTCCCACTGACTGTGGATCTGGACTGTGAACTTAGTGGAAGGGGCAGGCACAGTCTCCGTACAAGCTTTGACATGTTCGTTGCTGCATGTTCGTTTTACTGAATGGAATGTGTGCAGAGAATAGACCAGGAGATACAGAAGCTGAGGTCACAGAGCATTTTGAATTGGTCCTCATCACTTTTAAAGATCATGTTTGGGAAGTCCCATGTCTTTTCTCAGTTGTTTAGGTTTACTGCCTTGTGGAAACAGTTGTTATTGTTATGTCATCTCCTTTCTCCTTAAAACTTCCTTCCACTTTACTGTTTCTGTTCCTGGCCCAGCTCTTTGATACCTCCTCTCTTTCTCTTTGAACTCTTAACATCGGAACATTGGCACAAGGTCAATATTCACATTTCTAGCTCTTGCCACTGTTCTGAGTATCAGACTTACATTTCTAATTAAACGTTTCTGCATAGAATTCTCAACAAGATTTTGAACTCATTATGTTTGAAACAAAATTCATCCTTTTCTTCTCACCTCCTAAATTCCTTTGTATAATTTACCTAGATGGGAGGTAAGCCACTTATCTCCACAGCAATATAAAGGCTGATTGAAGTATTATTACATTCCTTTTTTTACCTTTTTCTTTTTGTTTTAATCTAATGGAAAACTCCTTCCTTGTAGGAGACAAGGAGAAGGCCTTAGAATCTATTGGGGGAGTCCAGAGGAGCAGTCCCTGTTGTCCCGCTGGAATCCGTGGTCCACTGAGGTTCCTTATGCTACTTTTACTGAGCACCCTGTGAAATACACCAGTGAGAAGTTCCTCGAAATTTGCAAGGTAGGAGGAATCCTGGGCATTACTCTTAGATTACCTTTGTTGGTGGAGCTATGTGCTTCTAGAACACATGCTGTTAGAAAAAAAAAATACAACCTGGGGTTTATATAGACAAAAACTTAAATAGATTTATAGAACTTTTTAAAGTAAATACTGGAGCTATTTTATATGTATAAACATACATCATATTTATATTGACATATACTCCTTTCTTCTTACTAATTGCATTTATTGCCTATAGCGTACATAAATGTTTCCATATTTAATTAAATTATAATTATTTTATTCAGGGAAAAATGCAGAATAGTGCAAAGTATAGTCAGATATGGCTTTGTGATCATGTTTGATTAAGTCATTTCTCTGGCTGGGCCTTGATAGTCTCACCTCTAAAATGGAGCTAATGAAAACTGCTCTTCCTCCCAACCTCACTGGACCACTGTAAGACTAAATGTGATGCCGTGTCTATAATTACTCCATAAAGTGTAAGGTAATTAAGAATATTCTTTGTCTTTAAATATCATCTCCTCAAGTAGATTTTAAACTCATTAGTGGCAAGAACAGTCTTCTGCTATTCTCTCATCTGTTCTCTCATCTCCCCCATGTACCTTAGGCAGTGCTAGGACACTCTAAGGAGTCAGGAAGTAAAACAGTGGGAGCTAGAAATGCTGTGAAAGACCAAACTTCATATTTTCAACGAAACCAAATATACATAAAAGTGTGTTATAAGCCTAGAAATTCTTACCTTCTCTGTCCTTTTTATGTTTATCTTTATATTCATCATTCATTTCAGATATCAAAAGGGACATGGAATAATTATTCTCCAAATACCTATAGATGTAGTTTAGTAGACTAGAGCATTAAATTTTGCCCTATCCTTCTTGTTGGCAAAGACAAAAAAGGAAATTGATGTTCCTATAGCTCTTACTGTGTAAGAACAGCAAGTGTGAAGCTTGTGCACACACACATGATCATGGTGGATGGTTGGTTAGTTGGTTGGTTAGTTTTTAGTCAATAAAACTACTTTATGGATCTGTTAAGTATATTTCCTTTAAGGCCTTTCTTCTTAAATTATTATTTCAAATTCTTTTACCTTCCTGGCAACAGTCTGGCACTTTCTTATTCAAAGGCTACCCCAAGTCCCAGCTCTCTAGGAAAACAAACGATCTCCATCTGGAATGTGAGATGATGAGGACTTTGATCCAGTTCTTTGAGTCTTAGTTTCTCTTTTGTTGTGGGTTTTTATGTCACAATATTATCTGTGTTTAGGACATTTTCCAAGGCTGGCTTTGATTAAGACCCAGTTATATTACTGTAAAAGAATCAATGAGAAGAAAGATAATTTGGGGGATCTAGAATTCTTTTAATGTGAATATTTTGGCATCACATAAGATTTTGAAAGGGGGTGATAAACTGGTTTTTCCATCTCTCTTATGAATGATATAGGAAAAAGTAGAGGAATAAGGGGGAACTGCACAACTAAATCAAATACCTGAAGTGGTTTAATTCAGTTTCACAGACCTACTGTGGTGCAGGGGCAGCAATAATGTAGAACTGAGTTACACAGTCAAAATGTTCAAGTTATTTACAATATAATGGAATAACTTATTATTTTAAAAATACATTAAAATATTCAAACTTATTCTTACCAGAATGTTTGTTTCTAAAGCATCTAGAATGTCTTTATTCAAAAAAAATTTTCTGATGCTAAAAATGTGTAGGTATTAGGATTGTTGCTAAGGATCTAAACAGAAATGAGACAAGAGTCTTGCCTTGTGGGAGGCATCACTTAAGAGAGGAGGCAGATAAAAATGCAAAGATATTTAAATGGGTACTAATGAACTAAAACAGAAGTTTGGATCAAGTGAAAAGGAAGTACATAAAGGTATACAGAGGGTTCTTAGATAAACGGTAATTTGGTTTAGCTCGAGTTTAAACTATATGGTTCCCACTATAATTATAATGGCTCAGACAATTAAGAGCCTAAACTAAGTTAGAAGCAGTAGGAAGGGCGAGAAGATGAGGTTTTGAGCTATTCACAATGTGGAATTGATGAAAGCAGGTAACTAACAGGGTAGAGAAGGTGACAAGAAGAAGTCAAAGATGACAAGGTTTCTGGCTTGAGTGGATGGTTCCATTAATTTGATTGGAGAAAACTGGAAGAGTAGTATTAGTTTGGGGGATTCCATTTAGAATGTGTTGGCTTTGAAACATCCATATAATGTGAGGTTGAGTGGGTTGTCAGTCAGTTAGAAATTTGGATCTGAAGCTCATTAAAGAAAGCTGAAGTAGTGATTTCAGATCATATGACATTGTGTCAAAGTTGAGAGTCATGGGGCTGGTTGGTTAGGAAGGTACCCCAGGAAGGAGCATTTATGGGCATAATTGCATTCAAATTTAGATTTGTACTTTCTCTAAGTCTCTTAACATTGATCTACAAAATCACCATCAAATTTATACAATACTATATCAAAATATATTATTTTTCTTTTTATCCATCTCACTAATTCTACACCACTTCCACATCTGGCCAACATGGTGGTCAAATGGCCTCTTCCCAGACAGTTTTATATCTCAACCCCTCCAAGCTTTTCCAATCTATTCAGTTCATACACCTACTTTGTATAAAATAATTGTGAAAATAGAAAATAGTAATTTTTGGCCATTTATTTTAATATTACAGAACATAGAATCTCATATACTGTTTATATTTATATTTTATGTTTATTGGTTACAGTTTGAATGATATTTTCATGTAATTCACCTAACAAAAGCCCTGGAAGACCAGGATAGCTATCTTTATTTTAAAAATGAGAACACTTAATTGGAGGGATTAAGTGAATTGATTATGGTCATACAATAATAATTCTATGTCCACACCCAAACATTTGCTAATACTCAGGGAAATGGGTATAAACCCGAAGGAATTGTGTGTGTGAGAGAGAGAGAAACTGTGTGTGCACTCATATGAATTGATATGATATGCTATAATATAATATTATACATTACAACCTGGCCCAATTATTCTCAATTGTTTCATCCACTTTGTATTTGCAACTTGTAACCTTATCTTTTCTTTTCCAACCATTGCTTTTCGGGGCTCCTGGAGTATACGGAGAGTACTGCTGGGAAGGACTATTAACTGAGCCCAGAGTGTGAATAATAGTGAATAATAGTGAGTGGATTACTGATGCTCTACAACCATATCGAAGTGATCTACAGACCAACTGATTTTACTCTTTCCTGGCATTTTTACCCATCTTTTCAAGGGAACTGTGAAAGTGAACCAGTGTTTTAGCACGTAAATTCAACCGTCTATCCTGAGCCCTTTGGTTCCTTGCACAACAATTCAACAACTATTCATTGAGCACCTACACGGCATTGAATACTACGGGATGAGTAATGTGCCAGTAACCTGGGATACCAAGAAGAATAAAACAGATTTTGCCCTCCAGAAATTTATAGTGTAGAAGGAAGAGGCAGAAATGTAATTAACAAACTATAATTTGATGTGTACCACCGTTAATAGAGAGATTCACAAGGGGTTATAGGAACCCCAAAGAGGAAACGGATAAGTCCAAAAGTTAACAGGGGTGATGACATTTGATGTGAAACTCAAGGTATGGGTTATTTAAGCGTCAAAGAAGGTGAGAAAAGACATTTTAAGTAAAGGAAACATGGTTAAAACCTGCAAATTACAAAGGTATATGAAATGTTCTTGGATAAAGACTAATTCAGTTTAGCTGGAGTTTAAAGTGTGTGTGAGCACGTGCTTGCTCACGCCTGTGTTCAGAGAGGAAGGTAGGGTAGATAGAATAGGGTGAGGCTGGAAATTAGGATGTGTAGAAACTTCTTTTGTAGAAAACAAAGATGCTTCTGCCTCCTCCTCTTATTTCTCTCTATACACTTGAATTTACCCAGTCATGGGGTCTCTATAAAGATAAATCCAGGTAAAATGAGCAAGGATGGTATATATAGTCTGTGGAGCAGTGTGACTTCCCAAGTGGTTTCGAGTGTTGGGTACTGAATGGCTGGCTCCTGTGCCAGGATGCTTCCCTCCCCACTAGGGAGGCTGAAACCTGTAGCCTGAAGGCTTGGAAAACCTGCTCAGCTGAGGAATGTGGGCCTGCAGGCATGAAACCTGGTCTCTTTACCCAGTGTAAACAGGAAGCAAGTGATGGTTGTAATAAGGAAAACTGAGACTCTAGGTGGTGAACTGCTGGCAGACAGCACCTGAAGCAAACCTGTGGCCCAGGCACCCAGCTGGTAAATAATCGCTCTAAAGTCAAGAAGAATATTCCACTCCCCCTGGCCCCCACCACAGACACAGCTATACTTTATCCTAACCAGCACGCAACCCCTGTGTAACTGGAGTTGTTAAAACCTGACCCTTCGTTTTTGAGACTGGAATAAAAGAGGCAGCCAGAGGTGGGTGTATAAAAGCTTTTAGAGAAAAGTATGTGGCTGGTGGCATTCATATCAGATGACACAGCGTTTCTGTCACACAGATTGAGTTCAGGTGCTTGAAATGCTCAAGAGCCAGCTTGGGGCCTTGGCCTTTTGTCTGCCTCTCCTTCAATGCACTGCTTGTCTCTCTGTAAGCTTGCCCCCCTCTTTGAAAGAGCTCCCAGAAATGACTGGAAATGAAGTGCATCTGACTCTAATGAAATGCCAAGTTCACTGAGTATGAAATAGTGTCAAGTTTTTCTTTCCAGCACTTTGATTCCGAGGCCACGGAGGATTCTGGTGAAATGAAGCTTATGACGAGGACTGAGGAAGCATTCAATAATCCAATTTGACAAACTTATTGAAAAGGCATCCTGATAATCCAGAGGGTGTTCCAATGGAAATGTTGAGAAGAATTGCGCTTTGGCTTTCAGGAGATCAGGGTTTGATGAGGGTGATAATGATGATGAGGATGTCAATGATGATAAAAAACAGTTAATATGTATTGATTATTGGCAACAAGCTTCCTTTATGGCTTTTGCAATGTGACTCCAAATTCCAGCCTCTTCTCATTCCATTTTTCTAATCCTTCATGCAATATGTGAGCACAGGTGCACCATGTACACACATGCACACACAGATTATATACAAACCCTTTATTTTACTTAATATTTACAACTACTCTTTAAGTTTGGTGCTATTGGCATATTTATTTTATGGAAAAAGGAATTATAAAATTCAGAGAGGTTGGATAACTTGCATCAAGTCACACAGCTAGTGAGTGCCATAGTTGTAACTTATGACCAGATCTGTCTGATCCCAACACTCATATTATATACATCATGCTATACTTTTTTTAGTTCAGAGGTTTTCAAGAAGGGGTGATATTTTTTTTGCCCCAAGGACATTTGGCAATGTCCCAGTGTCCCGATGAGACATTTTTGGTTGTCACACCTGGGGTGGAAGCCCTACTGGTATCTGGTGGGTAGATGCTAAGGAAGCTACTTGAGATCCTAAAACACAGAGGGCATTTTCCCCACACCACAGAATTAGCTGGCCCAAAATAGCAACAGTCCCAAGGTGGAGACACCTTGAATTAGTTGTATAGACAGCCACCCTTGTGACTCTACTTCTTAGAAAAATGAGATGGAATATTTGAGTGGAAGTATAAGTGAAATGTAACAGAAGAAAAGATCAATTTTTACCTTGAGTGTGTGAGAGGGCATTGTGGAAGAGAAAGGATTTGAGCTTGGTTTTGAAAGGTCAGTGGGAGAGTGGACACTGTAGATCTTTATGGATTAAATCATAGGTTCCTAGGCAGCTTTGGTCCAGTGCTTTTCATTTTTTAAAAAGTCTTTTAAAAATAAAATCAACTCTGATCGATGTGATTGAAAGGACCGAAACATGGTACCTGCTTAGCTTTTGCCTTTTTGTCCACATCCTCTCCCCAAACCCTCAGAAACCTTTTATCTGAACATTATCACAACCACACTTTCTTTCTTTTCAAAGGAATCTAGGATGGGGTGATAAAGTATATGTGGTTAGCTAACCTATGAAGAAATATAGTGTTCTAAGAAAAATAATTTGAAAATTAATGAGTCCAATATTTACCTATCCATCTCACAAATGAGAAACAAGAATACTTCCCTAAATGTTAAAATTTTAATACTAAATTTCCTAAATATAATTTGTAATACTGCTCATAACAGCAGTGTTTTATACAAGAGAAGACTTTAGGAGTGAAGTCAGGAGACCTGGATCTAAGCCCTTGCTCAGCTATTTACTGGTTATTTGGCACTGGACAAATCTCTAACTCTTACACCCTCAGTTTATCTATCACATCACCTTTACATTGCCCACAATGCCTAGCATCTTAGCCAACAAGAGTTTTCTGAATTTGCTGATTTCTACCCTCTGTCCCATATCCTATCTTGTTGAGGTTATTAACTTCACTTTGGAAATACCATTTTTGACTTCTGGATCCAATTATTATTATAGAGGTTTTCACTACAGGCATGAACTTTTCATCTGTATGTTTCTTTGTGCACCCAGCTCACAAGTCCAGTTGCCTATTGAAAATCTGTGAGGGGCTTACTGGTTAGATAACTCAAACAATACATCTAAAATGTAATTTTTCATCCCTGTGCCTCACCATTTCCAATCTCTACCTCTCTTAGGCTTTCCCAATTCAGTTACAATGTCACTATCCAGATTCTCAGGCCAAAAATCTGAGTGTCATCTTTGATTCCTCTCTTTTCTTCACCCCTAAGTTTAATCATATCAGCTAGTTCTGTGGCTCTGTCCCTCCCTCTCAAATATTCCTAATTTAACCAGTTCTTGTGGTGTCCACTGCCACCTTGGTCTAAGCCACTCTCATCTCTTGCCCGAACTACTGAAGTGATTCCCAAACTCATCTTGCCTTCTGGCTTCTTTCTGCATCCTAGTGGCATCCTGTTGTTGACTACATAGCAGCCAAGATTACTTTCTTAAAAATAAAAATTATACAACAATTGAACTTCTTCTTAAACTCACTTGAATACAAAGTTCTTAATGTGGCCCCAAAGAGTCTTTGTGCCCAGTGCCCCCCAACCTTTTTCTTTTGATCTCTATACTCCAGTTAAATAGCCCTCTTCTGGGTTCCTTGAATAAACTAAACTTATCCTTAAGTCACAGCTTTTGCAGATGCTGTTTTTTTTTTTTTTTTCCTGCCTGAAATATTTTCTCCACTTGACTTGCTGTTTTTCATCATTTGGGTCTCAGTTCAAGTTTTACCTCCTCAGAGAGACTTGCCTTGACTATGCTATATGAAGTGACCGTCACATCCATTACTTTTTATGCCTTCACCACATTTTTCTTTTCTCCTAGGATTTATCGCTATTGAAAATCCCCTGTATCTGTTTGTTTTACTTTTTGTCTCCTATCACAAGAATGTAAGCTCTAGGAAACAGGATTTTTGCCCATCTATTCAAGTACTTAGTACATGCCCAGAATATGGTCTAGGATGTGCTGCATCAATATTTCATGAATGATTTCAGATGTCATTTCATCCATTAGAAACACAGAGAATCACTTTAAAGTACTAATACTGATGGAAACAAGTTGTATACACACATAAAAAATTAAAGCAGCTAAAATTAAAATGGCACTTGGTAAATTTATATGGATAACAGACAAACTGAAAAATCACATATTATTTATTTCTGATGTTAACAAGCAAAATTTGGCCTGAGGAAAGTTAGTCTTAATAGAGTTAAACACGGTGATTAACTGTATTAACTTAATAGATTGTTAAATTGAACAATCTATATTTAAGAAGTAAGAGTAACTGTAGCTCCAGGAGAGTGGTCGAACTTTGTGAGGTCTGGCTGGGAAGGGGGCGCGTGTCTGTGGACCAACTCTGCATTCGCTAACTCTGTACCTTCTCCATTTCTTCCTTAGCTGTCTGGGTTCACGTCTAAGCTTGTTCCGGCTATCCAGAATGCCTGCAAGGATTCCACTGGGTCTGGAAAAGGAAGGAGACTGATGGTGTTAACTGAACCCATTTTGATTGAGACCTACACTGGGCTGATGTCATTCATTGGAAACCGCAACAAACTTGGCTATTCCCTTGCCCGTGGGAGTATTGGTTTTTGAGACTCTTTTTTGGTACCATAAGTATGTCATCCACAAATATGTCATTATTGAAGATTCCATTTCAGCCCACCATATTTTTGGACTGAAACAATTGATTACTTTTAATAGTACTACATTATTTTGAATATTCAGTATTTTAGGAAATCTAAAAGCTTGACTGGACTGATAGATCCACACACTTCAGACCTCGTATAAGAATGATCAAATTTCTTTAATACTAGAAAATAAATACTGCTAAGCCCATAAAATAATGTTATTAAATGAGTTCCTGATCATAAACTTGGGGAAGACTCTCTGGGTTCATGTTCCTCTTGCTCGCTAAATATAGGCATCTTCCATGTCTTACTCTTCAGCCATCTGATCCTGATGTGGGGTCTCATTCATTGGGGTCTCATTGTCTCTATTACTTCAGCTATCATTTTTATGCAAATTATTTCCAAGTCTGTATTTCCATCCTTATTTTTTATTCCAAGATTCAATTTTGCATTTCTGTATGCCAATCATCTACGTATCAGTGTTCCAATGGCCCCTCACATTCAGCATCTTCAAAATCTTGGATTTTTCTGTGGCATTGTTATGGTTCCAGGTATTCACTCCTGAAATCTCTCAGTTTTGATTTCTCTAAATTCATTGACAAATGCATTCCATATAGTTCCACATCTGTATATGGCTTAGCATTGTACCCCAATTCCCAAATGTCAGAATTAAAGCTCAGTTTTTCTTTTGCAATTGTTGATATACTCCCTTTCCCTCCCACTCTCATAGATATATTATTGGATCACGTTTTTAATTCTGTTCATGGGATTATTACCACAGCCTTTTAATTGGAATCCCAACTCCAAGACCAACCCCGTTTCAATCTATTCTGCACTTGGTTTCCAGACTCTCAAAGAAAATTTGAACATATCACTAACTTGATCAAGAACTTTCAATAGTCCATTTCCTTTTGTTGTTTTTGATCAAATATTTTTTTAAAAGCAGACCCTTTCCGTCTAATGATATCTTTTTCAGAAGCCCAATACATCAACGAGATATAAGTAGGACCACTGTGGTCAAAGTGGATATGGGAATGCCACTGGCCCTTTCCTTTTCAAGCTTCAGATGTGCCCCATATAGAATGCCCATGGATCTCCGAGGGTTTTGAGGACTATGCTTTCAAAAACACTATCCTAACTCACTCTATCCCTATTCCTCTTTTTTCTCTCATTTCCTCTTTGTTTCTTTCTGACTTAGGTCTAATGTTGAACAACTCAGGAGATTATGTCATCTGCATCTCTTCAAATTTCTTTTCTTTTTCATTTTAAAACCTTATTCTATTTAGATTTGTTTAGAAACCTAAACCTCTGTTGTTTAGAAACAACATTTCTATTTCGATTTGTTTAGAAACCTAAACCTATGTTGAACACCATAGCCATTATCACAATAAGCTTTTTAATTTTTCCAGGACCCAAAATTGATACACCTTGGTTGATATTGAAGTTTAAAATTCCAGCTAATTTTATTTTTTGGCTTTTGTAAAGTTTATTTTTAAAGTCTTTTCTTCAAAAAGATTGCTTCCTCAGTTTTGAGGATTTGTCCTCTGATATATTCATGAACATAAATCTGATATAGGTATTCACAACCCAAACCTTGAATCACACTCATTTTATTTTGTCTTTGTTTACTTCCATTAATATTTCTTTCCTTCCTTCTCTTCCCACTTTACAGCTCCCACTTTACTCACCCCATGATGGTAAATATTGTTACAGTCCCCAAGGCAGGGAACTTCTATTCAGACTGTGAAAGGAAATGTTGAAATCTTTAGCTGTCCTGTCAACAGGAGTGGAATGAAAAGTCGTTGGATTATTTTGGCAGTGGTTCTGAAGTAGGCATAATTGGCAAATTATTATAATACTGCTGCCCAAAAATCCCCATTTGCCTCAAGATAGTAGCATGTATTGGCAGAAGCCTCCAAAATGTCCAGCACATGTTTTTGAGTTACCATTTAAGGATCAGTCTGACAATCCACTTCTCTCTGCACATTTGTCCCCCTGGAACCTAAACCAGACTATTCCCAGATGACCTTCTGAAGGACACAGTGAAGCATCATCAATGGAAGCAACTCAGAAGGGACAAGAGGAGGTGATGTTTCGTAGTCCTGAGACCAGTCTGTGACAATAAGATAAGCATTTACTGGAACCAAAGCTGTTTCACATGGAGAAGAGCAAACTGAGAGATGACAGAGAACTATCTTGACATTTCATTCGGACTGTCGTATGGAATATTATCTGACAAACAGCATCTGGAAAGCAGGATTATGACCAGAGGTTTAGGGGATTCAAGAATTTGGATAGCAGTTCAAGATAAGAAAGAACTTCTTATAGGTATAGATGTTCAATAACAGAACAGGTTGCTTCTTGAAGTAGTGAGCTCACCATACCTTGGGCATGCTCAAGAAGGGATTAGATAAAGTAGATACTATAAAAGGGATTGCTGCATTATAACACTTGGTGGAATCATTGGTATAATCTTTTAAGGCCAGTGACCTTATGATTCTCCAAATAATTTTTACTAATGATTAGATAATTAGATTCCTTTTCCTTTGTAAAGAGCTGAATCAATCATGTGAGACCCTGAAAAATTACTTTAACTTTCCTGAAGTTTAATTTCCTCATCTGCAAAATGGAAACATACAATGATATTACTTCTGCCTATTTAATAAAGCTGTGGTGTGGACTCAATTAAATGAGGTTAAATTTTTTATTGAATACAAAGCATTGAGTACCTGCCTGTAGAGTGATGTGACTTTTGCAACAGAAAGTGGGACAATATCCAAGGAAACTAAATTCAGTTCCCTCCAGAAATTGCTTCTTTGTCACGATGCATCTATGGCCTATGGTTTTCTCATTTGACACTTGGTGTTCTTACTTGAGCTCTATGTCCCTGAGCTCAACAGACAGCCACAAACTAGGGGGCTTGTATGTATACCTAGTTTTTTTTTTTCCAGCCTATCTGTACCACTAAAGTTTGTCAAAGGGGCATGGTAAGTTTAATTGGAAATAGAATTAGACACAAAAGGCTTTAAATATAGTACAAAGCATATCACCACAAAAAATGTCATGGTTGGTGACCTTCTCTATTTGATCTTTGTCTCATTCAGGAATTCCCATTAGAAAATCTCCAATAAGTTTTATTTCAGAAATTACCTGAACATTTGCATTGACAAATTCCTCACAGTCTTTTGATACATCCTTGGCAGTTCTGATGTTTAGAAAGTTCTCCTGTTGCCTTAGAACCTGTGCCGTCTATCTGATATCTCTTTCCCTAAAAAACAAACAAACAAAAAACCAAACAAAAACCCTACAAAATAAACCCACCAAAATTCCTGTGGACTGGAGTAGGTTCAGCCTGGGTTTCCATGTCACGATATGGGACATTTGGATACACAGTCAAAACTGATGGATTCCTTAACATTTACATGAAGGGGAGCTGTGAAAAATCACCATGGTCAGACCCCCAGTGGTCAATTGGGCCTCTTTGGAGGCCTAATCTTTGGCCATCCTAAGCACAACTAAGGTAGAAAAGAGAAGCTTATTTATGAGTTGGTTACTTTTAGATCTTCTGCCTTGAGGCTCATTTTCATTGTCCCTTTGCTGAAGCATTTCTAGGGAGCCAATTCACAGAACCTCAAAGCACAGAAACCATCTAATCCAATGCTTTCATTTCACAGAGTGTAAAGCAAAGGCCTAGAAACTAGAAAGAAATTGCTCCAAAAGTTGGGTGAATTTTTGGAAATACTGGGATTAGAATACATCTTCCAATTCCTGTTTCTGGCCCCACTATTCTTTCCAATATAGTGTCTCCATTCCTTGGAAAAGACATGTCGTTTGAATCGATGTATCATAGTTGCTGGGTTAATTCTGAGATGAGAAAACAATAGGTCACAATTGTTTATGGGAAATTTCCAGAAATTGCCTTTATTTTCTTAAAGGCTAAGGCCACTCATAGAGTTCTCTGATTTCCTATCTGATCAAAAAGCCCAAACAAAGCTGCGGAAGCCAGAAGAGCCAGCAGATATTTTGTAAGGCAGATTTACCTCTGCCTGGCATTCTGTGAGGCAGGAGAGGGGAGGGCAAAAGTATTAAATTTAGGCTTAAAAGCTCCTCAGAAATTCTTTACACACAAGAGACCAAGCTGGAGAAAAGGAGATGACTTGTGCCAAGGGGAAGAAAAAGACAGACTAATGCCTGTGGTTTTCAAAGGTTAACAACAACATAAAAAAGCCTAAGTATTTGCACAGGGATGAATGCTCATTGGCTCTTGGCCAACAATTGTACAAGGGCTTGTGCCCACATCCTGTAGCTGTGGTTTAGGGACGCTGCTCATGAGTGACTTCTTATGCTTAGTGGCAGGAAACTTTAGTCACTGGTGTGTAAACTCACCTTTGGTCTGCACCTCCCACAACATGCTCCGAAAGCAGTTAGGGGGCCAGGACTCCTGATTTCCTTGCAGATATCAGTTCCCCAGAGGCTAAGGAAGAACTTTGCTTGAGGCTTTGGGAGTGACTGAGAGTTGATTGATATGTATCTCATTCCACTTGATTGTGGCAACTCCTTAGTATAATTCTGTAGCCGCAAAAAGAAATTTTGATATCTTCTCCTAACTCTTCTCTTTAGCCTCAAAATTCAAGACAAAGAATGTGAGCTGTATTTCATTTCAGAGCTGCAGCCAACGTGAAATGTGAGACTGCTTCTCAACATAGATCTTGTACCTTATGTGCTATTCTACACTCAATTTTTAAAAACCTTTTAGTAAACATCTCACAGGCCCCTTTTCAGTGAAGCAAATGGAATTTGCCAAGTCCACTTTAATGAACTCCTGTGTTTTTATGGTAAATATGGGAGATTATGATGCTATATTGTAGATGCACTGGGGCAAGTTCTCTGCACCACCAACTTGTCTCTTGTGTCCCATTCACAGGCTTATCCCATGCATTTTGGAAATTACTTTTCCTTCCTTCCTTCTATATTCCCTACTCACTCTTTATGGAATAATTTACTCTGAGATTGGAAGACACCTTAAAGACCATCTAGTTTGGCCTCCTATTGATTGCAGGAATGCCCTCAACCAAAACACTCACAGTAGATGGAGAGCCAGCTTCTGCATAAACATTTCCAGGGCATAGAACCCTTTGCTTTCTAAAGCAATTAATTCCACTACTAAGCAGCTACAGCAAGTAGAAGGCTTTTCTGAGTATTGTGCTCA